TCAAAGTTGGTAAGACAATATAAATGTTGCAAACTAGTTTTTTTTACTAACATGTTCAACATATCATTTCAAAAACTATTTTGCACAAGTTTAAAACATGTAATCAACAAGTTTGCAACATGATGTTGCAACCTTATAAGTTATTATCAATCAGGATGACTATGAACACTTTTTAAACTTTTTTGTATCATAGAAGAAAACTGCTAGCCTAATCACTACATTTTTTTTTATCAGAACATTATACTGTCCTGCTTCCTGGAAAAGTTATCGGCCTGATCAACTGGACTGGCAAAAAATGGATTTTTGCCTAAACTTTGTTTCTTAAAATATCTAAAATAAATTTGTTAAGAACCATTACAGTGTCTTCGCCATCAAGTTTTTTTTTTTCCTTGAAGATGTTTTACCGGCTCAGTTTTGCAATGCAAATTGCAAACTGAATCAAAGTACACATTATATAGCTCTATTGTGTGTGTGTTTCTTCACCTTTTAGCAACTTGATACTGGTGTTAATTTTCAACCGGCTGTTCATAGTCACCCCTGTTGGTGGTACATGTTGTAAACTTGTAGCTGATGCAAAATATTCAAAACCTGTCAAAAGACAGATGAGCACGAGTGTCATTTTTACCAACAAATCTTGTCCTTGTGAAATGCATACAAGTTTTCAACATGTTCTCTCATTGAATGAGCAAACATGTTGCAAACTTGCTTGCACATAACTTAATTTTTTTTAAGTTTTAAAGTTGTATGCACTTAAGGACAAATCTAGTAAACTGTAGCATTTTTTTTTTGCCTGACAACTTTCCATTTCTAAACTGTAAATAAAGTTTAATAACTTTTATTTATAGTTTTTTTTTTTTTTTTGCAGTTTACAACATAAGCTTTAAAAAATAAAAGATCAAATTTCAATATAAAGGAATATAGTCATTCGAGAGGAGAATAAAGATACTAAATAACTAGTAATATCTTGAAATTTAGTTAATAGAATGATTTTTATTTCCTTTATAAGTATTTAACTAATTTAATGTTTTAATACATATTTCAATAACACTTATAATGACTTGCTAAATGTTTTAAAAAAATAATAAATAACCAACTTGCTACAAAAACAGATTGATCGATTTAGGGTATATTCTAAAGACCATTATGTATATAAATACATTGTTTACAAGAGTAATTACAGTATAAAGTTTGCACTTGCTGATAATAAAGCATTTATAAGTGTTAAAATCAGAGTTATCAGTTGTAAAATAGGTCATTTTTAAAAAAACCCAAATATATTTTGGGTTTTTTTGGGTTTTATTGGGTTTTTTTAAGGTGGGTTTTTTTGGGTTTTTTTGGGTTGGTTTTTTTTTTGCCAACCCTGCCTAAAAGAGCACTATGTTAAATCCATTTGACTCTATTGGCATTATTTACTATAATCAAGTCTAGTATGTTTGTTTCATGATAAGTGGCTCTTTGAAATGTTAGATTTACAATGTATTGGTTTTCTAAAAACATTCACTAAGACAATTTACAAATTTTTCAGCTTGAGCACCAACTGATAATGCTTTGTTTGAAAACCATGTAATAGCATTGTAATTAAAATCACCTGGAATTATGAGATCTGTGAGGATCTTTTTTTCAATTAGTTTTTCGGTATTTTTTATAATATTTATAATTTTAGGACTAGTAAGTTTATTTAAATTCGACAGCTTGCAAAAACAACCTAATAAAATCTTTTTAATTCCAAAATTTAGACAAGCCCAAACTTGTTGAAAGCAGTTTATAGTTGGCAGTTGACTTCATATTAGTTTATTTGATTATTCACATTAATTGAAACCCCTCCTCCAATTTTTCCATTTGTACAATCAAAACAATACCATAAGTTTATTAAAACAAGTTTCAGCAATGCAGATTAAATCTGGAAAATATGTCTTGATGGTGTAACGCCATTCATCTATTTTATTATTTAAGGAAGTGGCGTTAGTGTAAAAACAATTTAAGTCAGATTTTAAGTCTGGTTTAAATTTATTTTTTGGTTTATGCGGCACTTTGTTTTTAAATGAGGGATATTTTTAAACTTTTAACACTTGTGTAACAGATAATCGTAAATAAATATAATAGGTTCTTTTATATTGTTTGAGCCAGGAAAATTATACATTTTTGCTTGTTGGAAATTTGATGATGTTGTTATTCCGAATCCCATACTTATAATCTTTTATTTTTTATTATCCAAGTCGTTATTAAGTCGATTACGTTCATCTTGTATTTGTTTGAAAATGTTGTTATTAAGTTGATTACGTCCATCTTGTATTTGTTTGAAAATATCGTTATTAAGTCGATTACGTTCATCTTGTATTTGTTTGAAAAAATATCATTGAGTTGGCTTTAAATCATAGTTTATATAAACATTTTTGAAATAATTACTTTTGAAAAAATTACTGAAATTCAATCATCTTGGCTTTGAAGTATGGCTAATATTGGGCTTGGATTTTTATTATTTGCGTTTTGAATCCTTGCATCTTTAATGTCTGCAAATACCTTTAAAACAGCCCCTTTATCATCCATTCTTTTTCATTAATGTTAAGTTTGTTTGATTCCGTTGTACCAAATATAACAACATTTTTTTCTTGTTTATATCATTTTGTTTAACTGTAATTGTACTAATAACATCAACTGCAAAAACATTAGGTTTGTTTGCCATTTTAAAAAGGCTACTGAAACTTTTTATTAGATTTTCTTTTCATATTGTAAAAAAAAAAATTCTAAATCTTTTACTTTAAATGCATTGTTTTCAACTTCAACTAAACTTAACTTAATCTCTAAAATTTTAAACTTCTCTTGATGTTCTTTAATGATATCTTCTTCATGGTCTTTAATGATATCTTCTTGATGTTCTTTGATAATACTTTTTTGATGTTCTTTGATAATACCTTCTTGATGTTCTTTGATAATACCTTCTTGATGTTCTTTGATAATATCTTCTTGATGTTCTTTGATAATATCTTCTTGATGTTCTTTGATAATATCTTCTTGATGTTCTTCGATAATACCTTCTTGATGTTCTTCGATAATACCTTTTTGATGTTCTTTGATAATATCTTCTCTTGATGTTCTTCCATAATATCTTCTTGATGTTCTTTGGTAATATCTTCTTAATGTTCTTTGATAATATCTTCTCTTGATAGTCTTTGATAATATCTTCTCTTGATGATCTTTGATAATATCTTCTTGATATTTTTTGATAATATCTTCTCTTGATGTTCTTTGATAATATCTTTTTGCAACTTTTTTACTTTTTTGACTCGTTTCATTAACTCAGTTTTTTGAACCAAGTAAAAACAATATATACATTTTCAGAATTTTTTAAATAGTAAAAACATGTCTACTAACTACCTAGGGTACGTGTTGTTCTATTTGTATATAATTGTTCTATTTGTTTTTTAAATTATTTTTAGAATTTGATATAGATTAATAATATATATAAGATTGATATAGTTAACAATTTTATTTATATTTAAGTTTTTAAATATTATTTATTTACTTAAGTATTAGTAAAGATAGGTGGACCCTTAAATTTTAGATAAGAATCTCCCTTGTAGTTTTAGTTTATATAGGTTTAGTGCCTTGATGTTGTTATCACATCATGTCAATTTCACAAATAAAAAAAATTTTTACAATCAAAAAAAAATGTTTTTATATTCTCTAAATAAAATAATTGCATAAACAGAATATTCGTAACAGTGTAACAGAATGCTCATAAATTTCTTAAATTTCTATAAAAATGTTTGTAAATTTTGTAACTATAAAATTTATACGTCTATAAAAAAAGTTAACAAATTAAGTATCTATAAGAAAGTATGAAAGTTTGTAAGCGTCTATAAAAGATGAATATTTAAAAACTTTTAAAATTCTAGTTTTAATATCTAGTTTTCTGAAGTGAGTACATGCTCTTGACATTTTTCCAACTCTAAGTTAAATGGGAAATCAGCTCTAATGCTGTTTTAATCGTCAAACGCCAAAGCACCAAAATTTACACATCTAAGCAAGATGGATTTAAATCTTTTGATATCCTGTATACTCTTATACATATTTAGATTTATTCCATAAAAATTATTTCATCACTCTAGTTAGTTTTAATGAAAAAAGAGTTTAATTTAACATTTAATTTTACATACTGCTACAAAACAGAATGAAAAATTATTCAATTTTTGTTGGACTATGTTCCATGAATACATTAATATTGTAAATATTTCTAAATGTTTTTGTTGTTTTAAATTTTATTGAAATTGTTTGTAATATAATTTTAATTTTTATTTTGTAAAGGATATCTAAAATGCTTAAATAGGCTTTTGCCCCCTTAATTTTACCCTTTGCTTAATTTGTGACCCTTACATTTTTTTTCTCATTTTGTAAACGCTCTTTACTATTTTAAATACAATTTTTTTTTTATAAAATGCATCTAAAATGCTTAAATTGGCTAAGATCCGCCTAACTTTACTCTTTTATATTTATAACAGCTAAAAAAACTTTTAATTATGTCTAATGCTTAATGAAGCCATGTTTAATTAAGATATATATTAACACTCAAAAATACTGTTAATTGAGCATGGTTAACTTTTATTTTTTTTAAAACCTTTGTAGAAGATAAAGATCAATGATAATTCTCGTTTAAAAAAAAAATCGAAGTTCAATAAACAGTGTACAAACTTAATGTATAAATAAAAAGTTTAAAGAATATTCTTATCTGATGATTTGTTTTATTTAAAAAATTCAAATTGTTTAAAGGAAAAGTAAAGAATACTCATATCTGAAAAATGAACTTGACTAATAATTTTTTTCTAAATTTCTAAAAAATATCATAAGTACCTAAATTTATTTTTAAAACTTTTTTTTTTTAATGAAGTTTGAGTGTCAAATTCGATTAATGCTATCATTTTGATGATGTCATCATCTTAGTATTTGGTTTAAACTTGCTTTTTATAATGATATAATATAAATTTTATTTAATTAAACTTTAGGTGGTATGTTTGGTGCTGGTATATATTTTGCTGAGCATTCAAGTAAAAGCAATCAGTATGTTTATGGAATCGGTGGAGGAAGTGGATGCCCAGTGCACAAAGACAGGTCTTGTTATGACTGTAAAAGGTAAAGTTTATTAGGTCTTCTACGGATTTATGTTGAAAGAGTTTTGTAATTTTAATCAAAATTGGCACATTTTAGACAAATCATTTTATGCCGTGTCACTCTTGGAAAGCCATTTTTTCAAAATAGTGCAATGAAAATGGCACACGCCCCTCCAGGTCATCATTCTGTGATTGGACGACCAAACTCGGGTGGATTATCATACCCTGAGTATGTTGTTTATCGAGGGGAGCAGGTATGAATATTTTGTAAATCTGTTATGATCTCATATTTCATTTGTATTTTTCACTTTATGTTAACGTACTTCTGTCTATTTTTCAGGCTTACCCAGAGTATTTAATTACCTACAAAATTGAACGACCGAATACATTGAGTTCCTGTCAATCGGCAGTAGATTAAGTAATGAATTCTAATCAACAATTTAATTCGAACAATGAAAGAAAAGCATTATCGTGAATTTTTTCAGTTCTTTTGATGAAGTTTTGTTTACATTTAATTTGAACTGGTTTTTATCGTATTCTTTCCTGAATTGAATGTATTGTTAGAATGAGCTGTGATGAATGGATAAAGTGTAATAATTTTTAATGAAATGTGAAGTTTCTTGATAAAGTTATTCACATTAAAGAAGTTATTATAAAAAAAGGTTCACAAAACTATTAGTTTCGATGTTACGTTGGGTATATACTTTGGAGCTAAACATATTATGACAATGAATGAACTAAGTATAATGTCGTGTTGCGATGATTTAATTAACATAGTAAATCTTTAATGGTAATGAGTGTAATGGTTATATAATAATAAAAATGAAACTGATGAACAGATAAAATAGGGTGATGTATATATAATTTTGGTGCGTGTTTATACGTGTTTACAAAAGACAATATTTTTATATTATTTTTTTCATATAAATAAATATGAAAACTTGATGATTAGAGTTGTCATAAATTTTTTTAATAAGTAATAATTTTAAACTGATTTATATACTTATATAATCTTAAGTAATAAAATTTATATTTTAAGATAGGCGTAATTTATTATAAAGTACTTGATTTTAATTCCGGGATATTACTTCTATAAGAATTATGTTGTTAGTATTTTTTGTAAAATATTAAGTTTATAATGAAGCAATATTACTTATAATTTAATTGTTAATTAAGAATAATAATTAGAATTATTTTATTAGAAAATTTAAAATTATAAGTTTAAGTTATTTATCACAATTTATAAATTTGCATATGTATTTAATTCAATATTTAATTAAATGTTTTAGCGTTAAAGATTTGAAATGGGTTCTAAAGGTCCGTTTAAAACTATATTCAAAATGAAACCAGAAGTAAACAGGAGTGTTTTTGAAAGAGCTAAAGCTCTTAAAGTCCCTCATAAAAATCCACCCAACAATACATACGAGTTGCATTGGAAATTTGGACGCTACGTTTGCCAGTTAAAAAGACTCACGTTCAATTATTGTACATATAGCGGTAGCAGCAGAGGACTAAGGTTAAGTTATATTCTTATTGATATATCTTTTTAAGTCTTTGAAAATTTTAAATGTTTTTGGGCATATATCATCCTTTTTTAGATATTTTATTGATTTTGAAGCAGAGAAGTTTGTAAAAGATAACCCACAAACATCGGTTTATTTTCAACAAAGAAATGGAAAAGATCCTCGCCTAGTTGCTAACTATAGTATGTTTTCCTGATTACAGTTTATTGCGGCCGTTTTGCTTTTCTCAAGTACTAAAAATACTATTTAAATTACGTTTACATAAATATTTTTTTGATTTTTAGTGAACGGACAAGATCGCATTATATCTGTCCCCAACCATGATAGTATAGCTATATGGGATTGGCTTGAGCGATTAAAGAACGAAAGTGGTCGTCAGTGGAGAAGTGAGCGTCTTCATCAACCATGGTTAACTTCTACTCCTTCAATACAAGGAACATGGAACCCTTTTCTTCACAAACCACCTGTTAATATTAACCCAGAATATTACATTCGCCGAAATAAAAATTCGTAAAAAGTGAATTTTACTTTTTCGAGAGTTTACAATTGTCTCGTAAAGGTGTCTTTCGCTAACTCTATCTCGTGTGCCCAATCAACTGTTCTTTAACAATTGACTTAAAAATCAGAGTTATCATAAGTTCTGTTTTACATAAAGTTTTAACTTAGTGTTCACATTTTGCTACTAAATAGATAGTGTGTGGAGTATTCAATTAATGTTTCTGCTGAAAGATAAGAATAGAAAACAACAACTTTTAAGTGAAATAATATGTGATTTTTATGGTTTTTTTATAACTTTTTATTTTTTGATTTGATTCTATCTTTTAAAAAAGCTGATAAGCTTCCTTAAAAGTTAGAAAGCAATCGAAAAACCATAAAATGATATAAGAAATATATTATTATATACATATTTATTACATACATAAATACGTTGATTAGTACATACATACATTAATGAAATTTATGAATTTTAATAATGTATGTGTGTATATATCTTACACCCCAAGGCCGAGGGTTCACTATCGACGAGAAGGAAGAGATTCTTTTTTCAATTCTTTATTGTTTTTATAACCCACTCTTAACTCTTAAATTCCGAAACACAAATATTGACAAACAAGGCCAAGTTTAGCGCGGTACTACCAGGGACGTGGTGGGGTCGAACTTGGAACTTCTCGCCAACAAAGCAAGTGCTTTTCTCAGGTGGTTTGAGACCAGTCTCTAACTTTCATGTTTTTTACGTTTATGGGCGGGTGATGTACTTTTTTATTGTTCATATCTTGCGGGAGAATTTAAAAACGCTAATTTAAAACAATTTTTTGACTTAAAATCTTACAAAAAAGTTTTCTGTGCTATCTTGAATTCGTAACATGAATTCGTTTTAGGGTTAGGGTCGGTATATAATACGATGAATTCATAACAATTCATTTTTAAATTTATTATTTTATTAGTAATAAATTGGAAAATTGGAGTGCTTATATAAAATCTAAAATTGTTATGGTTTCCATTAGGTTTTGTTGATTCGATTTTTTATTAAACACTGGTTTAATATCTTAATTGCTATTTTGCTATTTATTAATTTTTTTTGGTTTGTTTTTTCATATCAAACAGAGATTGCTCACAAATAATCTATCTAAAAAAAATTATTTTTTTCTTCAAAAGTTTAGAACTTGAATAAGAAACTAACAAAAAAAAAATTGCAAACCAAAATAAATTTTAACATGAAAATCTCTATTGCATTAAATTTAATTAACAATATATGAATCGCTAACTTTAAAAAGGGTGCATGTCACTATAAGTATTTTTTTTTAGAAACTAAAAAAACTGTATTAGGCAAACAAGATGTTTCAATTATACGAATTATACGATAAAGTTTCAATTATACGATGATTGTTTTTATTTATGGTACAGTGTGTTATGTATTGAGTAGGGGAGATGTTGGCCCATTGATCGCCGTAACACTATTTTGTAAACTGCGTACAAACTGATATAAATATAAAAACTTATTAATTACTAAACTAAAACAATTTGTCTTTAAGTAAAAATAAATGTTTTAATTTAAAAAATTGATAAACATGATAGGGAGAGGGAGGCGCCTTTGAACACTTTTTATTATAAATCAAAGAAAAATATATTTAACTACTTTTTTTGTTTTGAACAGTTAAAATCATTAAGGAAAGAAATTACTTTATTTCAGGGATTATCTTATTCCGGAATTCCGGATATTTTTCTCAACTTTTAGTTTTTCCGTATAATAAAAATGTTTTCCATGCATACAAGTTTAGGAAGATATTTTTGTAATATATTTATTTTATAGGCTTTTTCACTCATCACTCTTACAAAAATTTAAAAAAGTTAAAAAAAAATTAAAAACAAAATCAGCCGAAAGCAAAATTAAGAGAAATATAAGGGAAAATATATTCCGGATTTTTTCCGCATATTTTACCCTAACGATTTACCGGATTTTTAAAATATGACCTGGATAATCTATGAGTAAATACATATGAGTATAAATTGTAGTCAAAAATTAAGCCTGTATTCTCGTTCTAGCAAGGTAAGTGAAAATGTTCAAAACTGCTCCAACCTGGGGCAGCTTTGAATCGTCATTGTTAAACCAAAATAACTTCGATTAAAAAATTTTTTTTAATTACTAGGTGTATTTTAGACTATATTTGTTCCGTTATACTTCACCTATATACATATTTTAAATATATACTTATATACCGCTATACTTCACCTATATACATATTTTAAATATATACTTATTAGCTTATTGAAAAGAGACTAGATATTTCTCATTTGTTTGTTTCGTATTTCCGTGTTTAAGCGCTAAGTTATAAATTGTTTTTTTTTTTTTTTTTTTCATAACGCTGAGTCAAGATAGCGATCTGTCTTTTATTCTAGATGTTCGGGGTCCAAATCGGTTTGGACTGTTTTTTTTTTTTTTTTTTACATTCTAATTTTTTATTAAGTTAACTTCATAATATTTTAAATCTCAGAAATATTTTTTTGTCACGCAAACGCCCAATAAGTGCACCACCACTTCAGTCATTCTCTTTTGTCAAATTGGTAGTTCAAAACGAAGATATCACCAAGAGGTTCAACAAAGATTTTGAACTGTTCTTAAATTATTAGTTAAAGACATATTTGGTTAACCAGCAAAATTAGTTTCGATTAAATTATTTTTCTTATCAGTTTTATTTTTGTTTTTAGAATTTTGCTTAAGTTTTCGAAATATCTTGTTTTGAAATAACAAACTTCTTAGCTTATGCCCTCGTACGCTCTTTAAACAAAAATTCAAAGGTAAATTTTTTTCAAAACAGCCCCAGCGACGTTTTAGAAAATAAATGGCTATTTATGGAGACAAAATAATATTTTTTAATAAAATTTTTTGCTTCAGTGTAAATAAAATGTTCTACATAAAAAATAACATAAAGTTTATCACTTGTTAAAAATGTGGAAAGTCTTACAACTTTTTATCAAAATGTTTCAAATTTGTACTCAAAAACAAAAAAAATTTGTTTAACCGAGACATGGTGTTCTGACGAATCGTCCAGAATAAATTCAAACTTTGAAATTCCTAATTACAAATTAATATCTTCTGAAAGAAAAACCAACAAAAGGGGAGGGGGAATTATTAACTATATTCGAACTGATCAAGCCACTAAATATAGAGATGACCTTTCTACCTCAGATGCCGATAGTGAGGTCTTTACAATTGAGATAACAACAAATAACAAATCAAAAAACATATTAGTCTCTACATTTTATAGACCACCTGATGGTGATATAACAAAATTTTCTAATCATTTAAAACAAATTTTTTATAAAAATAACAATGAACAAAAAAAACTATTTTGTATTGGAGACATTAACATTGATTGCTTACAATACGATAAACATGCCAAAACTAAATTTTTTTTTGACAAAATCCTCCAACATTACATCTTCCCAATTATTAATAAGCCGACTCGGGTAACTCAATCATCAGTAACGTCAATAGACAATATATAAACAAATACAGTTCTTGATGTTACTTTAAAAGCAGGTATTATAAAAACAGATATATCGGATCATTTTCCGATTTTCTTTTCTCTGTCACACGATACAAAAACTACTAACGACTGTAAAATCGAATTTCATAAAAGGAAAATTAACAAACATGCTATTCAACAATTTAAAGAATCACTATCGGCAATAAACTCGGATAAAGTATACCAAGAATGTAACCTTGGACGCATATATATAATATAACTCTGCTTATATTAATTTTGAAAACATTTTCTTAAAAAACTATAATAAATATTTCCCAATAAAAGTAATGCTAGTAAAATAAAAACATCTAAAATATCCGTGGATCACCAAAGAAATTAAAAAATCTTCCAAAAAAAAAACAAAAACTTTATATCAAATACTTAAAAAATAGAAATGAAGCAAACCTAAATGCTTACAAACAATATAAAAATTTGTTTAAAAAAATTAAAAAGATTTCAAAAAAGAATTATTACTCAAATAAAATAAAAAACTCCAAAGGTGATATTAAAAAAACGTGGGACGTAATTAAAGAAATAATTGGAAAGAAAAATTGCAAACCAAATAATTTACCTACTAAAGTTGTTATAAATAATGAAGAGTATGTCAGTAGTGACGTAATCTCAGAAAAGTTTAACAATTTTTTTGTTAACATAGGCCCTAACCTGGCTACAAAAATTAATTGTCCAAACAATTCATTTGAGACATACTTAACTAATAACAACAACGAATTAGCATTTAACGAACTAAAAATTGAAGAACTTGAAGTTGCGATAAAATCTCTTAAAATAAATAAATCTCCAGGTATATATGATATTTGTAGCAATATCGTTATCGATGTCTTTTTGGAGATACGCAAACCGATCTTCGAAATATTTAATTCATCAATTAAAACAGGTACTGTACCAGATAAATTGAAAACAGCTAAAATTATACCAATTTTTAAAACAGGCGAAACATCTTTATTAAATAATTACAGACCAATCTCTATACTGCCTACTTTCTCTAAAATACTTGAAAGAATAGTTTACAATAGATTATACGAATATCTCCTTCAAAATAACCTCTTAAACAAAAAAAAATTCGGGTTTCAAACAAAACACTCAACCGAACATGCCATTTTAGATCTTGTAAATAGCATGAGTAATTCTTTCGATACTTGCCGATCTAAAGCCTTATAAATCCTTCGGATCTGACGGCTTGCATCCCTTAATACTCAAGATATGTGCCAAAAGCTTTGCAATTCCATTAACAAAAATCTTTCATAAATCCTTTAATTCTGGAGTAGTACCCACTCAATGGAAATTAGCAAATATTAGTCCGATCTATAAAAAAAAGGGAGATAAATTACTTGCTGAAAACTATAGACCTATTTCACTAACATCTGTTGCCTGTAAAATCTTTGAAAAACTTGTAAAGAAAAAAATTTTAAAGCACATTAACGATAATAAAATGCTCTCTGCAAATCAACATGGCTTCCTTTATCATAAATCATG